TCCATCTAAAGGAGATTAGGGTCTTTAAACCCGTTCCATTTATTTTGATCGGGTAAGAAGATAAAGGGGATACCATCGTTCAAACTTCAAAGAAGTCTCGAGGAACACAGATGAACGGGAGGAAGACGAAGGCGACGTCTCAGCGGTGGTTGATTGGTGATGCAAGGGGGGAGGTCGCAACTATCTTCGGTCGACCCTTGTGGCTTTCTACTCGTCGACGGCAGCAGAGAGGACCAAAGGAAAGATCCCCTCACGTTCGTCTTCGTCTGATCGAGATGGGGAAGACGAATGGGTCGAAGCAAATCGAAGGCAGAGGGTCCGCTCTCCGGTGACGATCGTGTTAATCCCCGGTAAGGGCGCCGATCGATGGGGATTTTGCAGTTCCAATTTGTGGGAGGAAAGGAAAAGGAAGTTGGGTTCGGGTGGTGCTTCATCTACCGGGGGGAGAAGAGGCTCCGAAGGCCAATCAGATTTCTCCTTCGTCTGAATCTGGTATGAATCCTTTTTCTTTCTTGGCTTGTTTTGACCGATTTTAATTCAGTATCAAGAGGGTCGAATCGGATAGATATTAACTGCACTTAACTCGGCCGGAGAAGGGAGAAGGTCGGCGGAGGAGTTACCGATCGATCCCAACAGCAAGGAAAGAAAGAAAGCAATTGTTTTGAGGTGAGCAATTTGGTTAATCATTAGCTTGAGTAATAGCTTGTGAGCTTTGTATAATATGTAGTGTGTGGTTTTGGGTAAGGTGAGGTGCAGAAGAAACGGCAATTTTCTTTGTCTGTGTTTGTGATTTTGATTGCAAATCATGGAGTTTGATCAACAGGTTTTCGATAGGTGATTGTGTTTGATTGCTTGACAGAATTTAACAGGGAATGAAAGAGAATTCAATGGTGTTTGGGACCTGTTTTCTCATCAAAACAACAGGAATTAAGCTGGAATGAAAGGGGGCAACAACCTCCCGTTTTGGTTTCTAAGAGAAGGAATGGGGACAGATAGATTGAAATGAGTGGGTTTTGTTTGATGGTTTGCAGGAAACCAGGAGAAAGGAATTGAGTAAGCAGGAATCACGGAAGAAGATTTACAGTTGCCTCAATTTGACAGCTCACATAATTGCTATATATTTGAATACTTGTAAATTTGTTAAATATTTGTTAGTGTATAATGATAATGGTTATATATTTGAATAATTGTAAATGGTTATATATTTGAATAATTGTAACTTGTTATATATTTGTTAGTGTATAATTTATTTCGAATATATATACATCATATATCATACTTGTATTTAGATATTTTGCAAAAGTAATTAACACACACTATATATATATATATATATATATATATATATATATAATATATATATATATATATATATATATATATAATGAGGACGTAACATTTATTAATTCGTTAAATCTCGGTTGGTTAAATTAGAAATACAAACACATATACTTAATAGACCCCAATTTACGTGCCATTGGTCTTTATTGCATAACGGCTCACGGGGGTTTGATCGTCGAATTCTGACTGAATTTTACCGGTTTTTACAGTAAAGTTAGCAACTTTACGTGGTTAACCAGCTCAAGGAAGTCATATCTACATTTTGGAGCAATTTCTTAATGGATTAAGGGTTAAAAGTGGAAGTTGGCTAAATAGGGAAGTACGATGGGCGTACAAGCCTGTACGCGCCACGTACAAGCCTTAAAGCGTGTACGCTTAGCGTACAGCTGAGTACGCCCCACGTACTCAGCAGGATTGGACTTTGGTGTTTGGGCTTTGGTTTGGGCCATCTTTTGGGCTTAGTTGTTTTGGGCTCTGTTGGGCCATCAGGTTTTGGGCTGATAATTATTTTGAGAGGGCCCACAATGGGATTTGGGCCTAATTTGGAAAATTGAGCCATGAATTGGGCCTTGGGTGGCTGATTAGGATTTGGGCCTTAATCTTGGACCAAACTAGGTAAGGGGTAAAATGGTCTTTTTACCCTAATTGTGGTCTGATAGTTATGGATGGAATTCAAATTATTAATTGGATGTTATTTAGTATTGTTAGCCCGGGGATTTATTGGACCAACAGCCAGAGATCTGTTAGTGTGATTCAGCAGTTCGAGGTGAGTTTCCTCACTGTGTTTTGCGGGTCGAAGGCACCAATGCCGACCCATGATTATGCTATGTTAGTATGCTAGTTATCTGCATGACTCTTGCATGTGTTATGTACTTGTATGCTTACCGGGCGGGGCCCGATGACCATCTTGTATGCTATGTATCTTTGTGATTATTGCATGTGTATGTGTTTATTTGATATATGTTATATGTATGTTGGGCGGGGCCCAATCTGTATATCGAGCGGGGCTCGATGACGGGCATGGCCCATTGTGTGTTTATTATGTATGGTATGTGGTATTTTGGGGAACTCACTAAGCTTTGTACTTACGGTTCTCAGTTTATGTTTTAGGTACTTCCAGTTCCAAAGGGAATGGCTCGGGATGATTGCAAAGCACACACCACCTCGTTCCGCGCTTTGTGATTGCTCTGATTTGATATGATGTTTGCTACACTTGTTTTACCTGGATTGTATTGATGATATTTTTGGAATATTGTTTTTATTAAATTAAAAATGAAATTTTTGGGTCTTATTTTCGGGACGTTACAAATAGACTAGATCTAAAGTTTTGGGTTTAGATCTGTAATGGTTAAGCACTTAATGAAAAATATGGCATTATGTCAGTATCCACGACGTGGCCAAGGGATTTCCACGACGTGGCACGGTCCTACATGCCGACTGTTTTGTCCTGAAATGGCCACAACATGGCCAATAGGTCTCCACGTCGTGGTAAGCGCTGACTTGGTTGACCATTGACTTTTGTTGATCGTTGACTGTTGACTTTTGACCAGTTTGACATTGGGTCAAACTTGAAGGACTTGGGTTATTGATTAAGGATCTATCTTGTTTGGTGCTAGTTGGTTCGTGGGGGCGATCGGTGCAGTAAATGAGGGCGTTGTTGTGTTTCCTTGGGTCTTTGATTCAGGTGATTTTCATCACTATACTATGTGTTACAGTATATAAAAGTGTAACAAAAATTCCTTGCTTATTATCAATTCGAGTTTTGGAGTGAATAACCAATGAAATCCAAAGCCAATACAGAAAATCAAAATCTTAAAGAACCCAAAATCGAAACCAAACTTAAAAAATATCATCTTAGGGCCATAAAACATAATTTGACTTAGGGTTCTTACCTGGTACTACCGGGCAAGGGTATATTGTCGTTGGTTCAACCAACATCACCTACAAAACATTCTACAAACCAAATAATCAAAGGAATAAGGTACCGAAGGAGAGAGAGAGAGAGAGAGAGAGAGAGAGAGAGAGAGAGAGAGAGAGAGAGGAGAGAGAGAGAGAGAGAGAGAGAGAGAGAGAGAGAAGTCTTTAAATGGAAACCAAGTCTCAGGTCGAAGAGAAAGAAAGAAGAAGGAGAGTGGTAGTGGTGGTGGTTTCCTTAACTGATGATGGAAATGGTTTCGATTGTTCGAACGATGGCTGATAAAGGTGATGAAGTTTATATTAGCAGTGTTCGATTTAGGGTTTCAAGAGAGAAAATGAGATAAATATGTTAAGAGATATTGAGTGTGGCTGAAGAGATATGGTAAAAAGAATGAGTGTTGCAGTTCTTGAAATCAGCAGAAGAGAGATATAGGGGAAGTCGGGCCTAACTTGAGAGATCTTTGCCGAGATTTGATTATTCAACATGGACTTCAGATTAATAGGCTGAAAGTGAGGAATACTAATTCAAAGGCCCGTCTTGACTTTTGTTGACAAATATGATTTCAATGCACAAAACGTTTGTATTTTTTCCTTTAAAATTTGTACCTCTTAAAATTCAGCATTTGAGGCTAAATGCTTATTAAGGTGTGTATGTGTGTGTGTTCCATATTTCCGATTAATCGCTTGTGTTAACTATTTTTTTCATAGTTGTTGGAACAAACAATTATCACCATTAAATTATGCGGTTTTATGTTGAAGAGCTTACAACCATTGGAGTGTCACAAATACCTTTAAGGATATGAATTACATTTGTACCGTCATCTCCGATCAAAAAGTCGATATCATCAAGTTGATTTTACATTTTTTGTTCCGTCTTTTAAATTCGTCCAATAATCGTACATGCTCCTCTCTACCTTTCTTATAACCAATTTGATCACTTAGGATCAAACCGGTTCTCGACGAAACTCGGTGATAATAATAATAATTGTGTTTAATGTTTATTATTCATAACAAACTGATGATTAATCCTCAATATTAATTATTATTCTTTTCTATGTACTATTTGCAATAGTACGATATTTAATACTCAATATTAATATGTCGGTTAGTTCATGTTTATCGTAACAACTAATAATTAATTCACAACATTAGTTATATGCTCGTTTGTTTCATACTTTTAACGTTTTGGTAATTATTTCACAATATTTATTATCAGATCGTTTATTGTTATATCTGGAAATTCAACGCTTTATATACATAAATATTTTGTATAAAGCATTCGACTTATAAACACTCAAGTTTACAAATATGTTTAATCCTATTCATTTTGGCGATAAACTTGTATTCTTTACTATTGGTTTACGTCCTTAGAGGCATATATATCAGTCTTGACATCTTGTGATGATAACTATGGTGTCTTTTCATTATTCAAGTCATTTTGCGTCATTGCCATTTGTCTTTTCTTCTTTCTTTTAAATAGGATGATTCCAATAGTATTTGACAAAAAGCACAAATACATAAAGACGAAAATGGTGATTATGTACCAATTTCAACTCGTATAGATTTTCATGCATAAATATTTGTATATAATCCTCTTCATATAAATATGTAACTTCATAATCCATAAATCCCAATCCATATCCATGTAAAAAAAGGTAATTACCCAAATTAACATCAAGAAAACACACACAAACACTCAAATACACACACTGAAGTACTCAAACGTAAAGATTCTGTAGCATCTAGACGTTCAATGGGCCTAGTCTCCTTATCGAACTATTGATGCTATTACTTCTTATAGGTGGCTGAGGGACATAAAAATCGGAGTACATATCTGTGAAAAATTTATCCACAAGATCTTGATAAATCGGGCTAGTGAGAAGAGAATAATAATGAAGAACCTCTTCAATATCCAACACCTGTTCTTCATCCTTCATATCCATCATCTCCAATTCTTTCATTTTTTGCTCCAAAACATGGATTTGACTTCCTTCGTTTGAGCATCCACCATCTTTCTTATCTTCAAGACTACTGCTAATTACTACTGATTTCTGATCTTGCGTCATGTTTGTTCCTTTGTTGTTGTTGTTTGAAACCTCGATTACACTTCCATTTGATTCAATGTCTCCTTTGAGATTTGGGTTTGCATTATTGGCATCAGAATCCCACTGCTCACAGAATTCTTTGTAGAAATTGTCGAGTTGTTGCATTTTTGGGTTGTTGAAAAGCTTCAAAGATGGGGCTTTGGATAACTTTTTATACCCTCCAAAGATGAAGGATTTGAAGTTTTGAAGGGTTTTGTTGAGAAAGTTTTTTGTTCTGCGTATGGTTTTTCTGAGCAGCATTTGTACCTCTCTTGCTCTTCTCTCAAGATTTTGTTTTCTTCTCAAGGGCCTTGTTTACAACTCCTCAAACATGAGAGAGAGAGAGAGAATGATATTTAAAGTGATAACCTACTCTATGGGTACCCAAAATGTGTTAAGATATAAAGTACTTATCCATAAAGATATTAACATTACTATTATGGGTAAAAGAATATAAATGTGTTGCTATTAAGGATAAAAAAAATATCGGTATATTACTCTTGGTAAAAAAAAATACAAATATGTTGTTATTATGGGTAAAACATAAAGTACATTGCTATTATCAGTAAATAAATATAAATACGTTGCAATTAAAGGTAAAAACGATAGAGTAAGTTGTATATATTGGTAGCGAAAGTAAATAAAGTACATCGCTTTTTATAAAGTAGGATGGTTGATGCTAAAAAACTAAACCATCAATGTCGAATCTAGTTTTAAAATGTGTCCGGCTTGAAATTTCAAATGAGATTAAAAATCTTTATTGGGGCAGGAGAAATTTTTTAATTTCTTTTTGTTTGCACACTAATAAAAAGTAGTGTGTAATGGAATATGTTTTCAAGTAGAAAAAAAAGGAGGTGTAATGATAATGAATAAACAAATAAATAAATAAATAAATTTGAACGTATGTTGTCAAAAGTGCATTGCCACTGATTAAGGAGCAAAAGTAAAGGTGATTGGTAGGTGAAAGCTCACTTAAATATTCCAAAATTTATATCTAATACGTCACATAAAATCCATATATTTTTCATACTTTTAACCTCTTTTACTCTTTTGTTTTTGGTTAAAATAAAAGACATAATATTGATACAAATAAAGAAAGTAACTTTCTTTTTTCACTGATTGCATTTATTTGGCGCTTAGCTGTATACACACCCTAATCAATCTTGAAAAAAAGTGGTACCACAGTGTTGGTGAAAAGGAGGATATTTTAACAAATTGCATTAAAATCAAGACATATGGCATATGGGGCTCTGAATTTTAAAATAATATAACAAACAGTCCAGTCATTTTCTAATGACTAATTTGAGTCTGAAACATGCACACTAGCCTTCATAAAAGGGAACATACTTTAAATAGACCAAAAATCACACATGTCACCAAAATTGAAACCCACCCAATCAGAAAACAACACCTGTTATAAATCATAATTTTTTGTGAAATTTGAAGAATTGATGAAGCAATCTGTGTACTTCCCCATAATTCTTTCTGTTGCAATTGAGACGATCTTTAATCCAATTTGGAAGCTTGTTTGTTGGATGTGACAAATTCTTTTTTATAGAATCCGTTGTATATCGCGTGTCCACTAATAAAATCGCTGCATAATCATTAATATGCCTAATTGCTCTTCCTGTAAACAAGAATTCAAAAAAAGTTTTTATTTGTTTAAAATTTATAAAAAAGTTTTAAATAACATTACCTATGGATTGATTTACAGCTTTCATGCAAAGATTTTCATAATACTCTCTTCCTCTATTCTTACAACTTCTCAAAATCTCGAATCCAGCTTGAGCATCACCATTAAAGCGAGTAAAATTATAATCTTTTTTTGTCATGTCTTCAAGAGAATCGATATATTTTACTCTTTCCATTAATTCAATATCAGAAGGACTAGGGTAAGGCAACCCCACCATAACTATGCAACGACCCATTCCATCACTAAAATTAATCCCTTCTGATATCTTCCCTCCAACAACCGCAAAAAACACAGCACCATTTTCAACCGATTCCTTGTATTCTTTCAACACATTTTCAACTTCCATGCTTTTTCTTGGCTCTCTAAACACCCGTTTCTTTTTCATTATTCTTCCTAGGATTCCGGAAGCTTCCCATGACGTGTACACACATTCTTCATAGTCAAACGAAGAAAAGAAGACCACAATACCTTGTGGAATCACACTCACCAGATTACAAATTAGTAGCCCTAGCTCCCCAACCTATGGAAAAAAAAAAAAAAAAAAAAGTCAACAAGTTATGTTGTTTGTTTTTGAAGAGGTAAAATGTCTGCGGTTTTTTTCCAGACCAAAAGTCTGCAGTCTGCAAGAAAAAGACTGTTTGTTTTTTAAAGTCTGCAGGCTGCATAAATGATACCAAACTAACCATGGTTGATGTACTTCTAGAATTATAGCTGAAGTCCATGGGTTGACCCGTGGGCCCGTGTGAAACGGATATGGGTAAAATATTGTCGGGTGGGATTATATGACCACAAGAGAAAAAATTAAGCTGATGTGGCGGTAGCCATGGAAAGAGTCTTGCGCGTGTTTCTTCTATAGGTTGGAGGGTCCCGCCAGCTAATACACACGCATGGGCTTCATCAACAATCTACAAAGAATAACAATGTACTTTACTTATATATTTTTTTTTATCCATAATAGCAACATATTTTAATATTTAAAGAATTTTATAAAAGTTTTAGCAAACCTCATGAAAGATCTTCTCCCCAGTTAGCATAACGTATTTTAAATATCCTCCTTGTTGTCCAGAGTCTTTTGGTTTTTTCCTTGAGAGTATTATCCTCCCATCACTATCATGATTTGTCAATGAGAGTAATAATCCAGCTAATGCGCGAAAGCTTGATAAAATGCTACCCTCAAGGAGGGCAATATTGTCATTTTGTAAGCTAATTATCCTATCTCCATACCCACTGACCTGAGATTCAAACAAAAAAGAGCCATGAGCAACTTTGCAAAGTTAATATGTAATCACGAAAAAACAAGAAACTCACCTTGTGAATCATGTTGCTGTCTTTGATATATTGAAGAAGTTTGACTAAGTTTATGTTGTCAATGTTGAGAGAAAACACAAATTCGTTAACGCGCAAAGAGCATTCAGATCCATTAGGAAGCTCTTCTAGAATGGAAGAATCAACAAAATTGGTGTCATCTTTGTTGCATAAAGTTTGGATAAAAGCACGAGTGAGAATCATTAATGTTTGAATGTGTCTTCGATTCCCTGGTCCTAAAAGATTGCGAAATCGTTCAAAATAGCCCTCTAAACTTGAATTAACACGTTCCAACTGTAGTGATTTGGAAAGATTCAGTTCCATGAAGAAAGAAAAATCCAAGAATGATTTGTAGAGGGAGATAAGAATAACAGGGATGAAGTAATTACCTGGGACAAAGTGATTTTGGAGTCATACATGCTGATGAGAGAGTCAGCAAGATTGTGAGCTTCATCTATAATAACGACACTGTTCTTCAAGCTTAATCCAAGTGATTCACGTGAAGATTTAGAGAGAAGAGATTGATAAGGAAGAACAACAAGATCTGCTGAAGGAACCATGCTTCTGGAACCATAATAAGGACAAGTTCCTAAATTGCCCCCAAGGCGAACAAGATCTTCAATGTCTAAGGGTCCTTGATCATTCATCTTGTTTTTGAACTGCTTTTGTAGCTTATGTTTGCTAAGCATTGGGCATCCACTTGAGGCCTTTGTCTTGCGTACTTTTCCCCCAACTTCCTTCTTTCTAGACACTAGGGTTTTCTTATTCTTCTGAAGATCCAAACATCGTTCGTTAATCAAGGTGGAATTCCCAAGCTTCAACACTTCTGCAAATTAGTTTCGTTTCAGAATTCAGATAGATTGATCATGTCATCATTGAAGATGTACAGATGAAAAACAATGATTTACCTTCATTTATGCAGAAGTTCTTCCTGGAGCCCAAGCATGCAACCTTTAGGTCACTAGCAAAAGCGGTTTTCCTCAATTCTTTTACAAATTGCGAGAGCTGTGAATGAGTTCTGCTACAAAAATAGATCTTAAAATCAGCTTCTTCCTCTTCATCGCTTGATTCATTGCCTTCTTTTTCACTGTCACTCGAAGATGAGCCACAACAAGCTCCATTTTTTCTCTTTGATAGCGCACTCTTCTCATCTTCACTTTCGTATTCTTCTACCAAGAACTCTTTATCATCTAGCTTCTCTCCATCACTTTTCACTATCGATTTATTGTGTTCTCTACCATATACATTGTAATCAGCTTCGATCTCTCTAAAATGATTAAATAAATCGTTGAAACTCTCCTCAAGTCCAGTTTTATCGCTTTTTTTACTTCTAAATCCGTGTCTTTTCTTTAGCTTAACCTTCTTCTTGGGGCTTTCCGCCTTTATATTCTTTATCCAATCAGGTTCATCATCTGGCCCAGAATGATCTCCAGTTGTTCCATTAAGATGCGTATCGACTGAATTGTCATTATTTTTGCGTTGCTTTCGATCGACAAGCCATTGCAGAGCGCTACATATTATACTTAGGGTTTTTCCTGTCCCTGTTTAGCAACAATAGCCAATAGATGTTCATATTTCATATCATTAACATTCTTTTACTCCCACAATTCAACACACACACACACAGAACGAACGGTAGTAAAAGCAAGATTACCAGTAGGGCTTTCGAGCATTGCGATTCCTCCTTTGTCAAGAGAATCATAGAGAGCATTCATAAAATCAATCTGAATGGAGTAGGGTTTGAACGGAAAAGCCCCAAATTTCTGTCCTGTTTCTTCCATTTCACCGTTTTCTTCCACCGGAGATGCTACCAACATTTTCCCGCGCGATTTGCCGGTGACAATATATAGTTGACCACTTGACCTCGGGTCGGGTCTTCATACGATTAATGAACTTGGGCTTACAAAAAAAGAACAATTTTATGTATACGAAGAAAATAATTCAAAAAATTTGGTTTAGCAAAAATAGCCATTCGGAATGAATATTCTTAAGAAAAAGTCCGAAATTCAATTAACAATATTAACTACGATATTTGAAAATCAAATCCGAAATGAAACATTCTTTGAAAAACCAAAAGAACTCTTGGTTTGTTTAGTAACATCCTCGAATATGAGACCTCCTCCTAAACTTCGCATTATCGAAAAACCGCACTGGACATAGGAGAGCATTTTTTTAGTTTCGATTTTGGAATAGTGGTCACATTTAAAATCAGGTTTTTGGCACTGTACCACGACGGAGTTTGGCCCATTTACCCATTCAGTCACTCAAGTTTTTTTGTGCACATTTAATCACTAAAGTTACAATTTACGTGTCAATTATACCATTTTGTTCCCTGATACCGAAATAACCGGTAAATTTACTGATGTGACATTTTAATATTAAAACACATTAAAAGTTATGAAGGCCACGTACACTTCCTTCTCCTTCTAGTGGGCACTGTACTCCCTTCTCTAACATTCGCCAAATGTTAGTTTACTGTTTATAAGGTCAATTCATAGCAACATGCCTTATACTTATAGTGTGGGATTGAACAGAGATTAACAGGTACGCCAATTTCCTCTAAGATTCAAACGAGACCCCATATCACCTTAAACAACTCCTGCTTTCTCTTTCTTTTGCAATTTATGTCCACTTACAACCCATATTTTAGGGTTTTGTGTTACATCTGTCATTGCTCGATCTATAAAGCAATACAAACACCACCAACTCAAACACCTCCACCACCTCAACCTGGTGTTTTCACCACCACCGTGGCTCTTCTCTCTCTCTCTGTAGATATATATAATATATCTATATATATAAGATATATATATATATATAATATAGATATATATATATATATATATATCTTTCTCCGTCTTCTCTGACCTTCTACGTACATATCTCTCTATCTATTGCATAAGAGGGATGCCTACATACTCATAGTTGCAAATTCTCTCTTCTCTCAAATTGTTTGCGAGAGGCTCATTTTCATACACATAATAAAAAATCCAGCCATGACCATCTTTCTACACACATAATTCTAGCACTACCAACGAAAACCTAAGAGTGGGGGAGGTTTAATGGCAAGAAATGATTGGATAAAAGTTATCTTTTGATGAGTCTGATCTACATTGCTCTTGGGTTAAAGTAAGTCTGATTCATTGATTTTTGATTAATCAGTATGTGTGTAAGTCTATGATTGTCTATTGTCATGTCATGTACTCATGTTTTTTTAACTTTGTGTGGAAGAATCGAATCGAATAGAGTTGAATTGAATCGACGACTCGCCATAGGGATTCCACTCATCGACGAAATTGAATGACCGATCTAGAAGCACTGATCGACGCCGAGAGAGTCAAGGATTTGGAGAAGGTCGTCGACTCCACACAAACTGATCTGTAACATCCTAAATTTCACGTCCAAAAATTTCATTTTTAAATCAATACTTTGGAAAACATTTGTGAATAAACATCGTTTGATCATATCATTTCATAAACATATTTCGTGTCTAAAAACCAAAACATAAAAACAACCATAATGTCAGAGTACAAAATCCCAGAATAACTCATGGTGCGGAAAACATTGTGCGTGTATGATGTGCCGCTACCGCGCCAGCTCCTTCCCCTTCGATGAAGAGGTACCTGAAAACAAAACTGTAACTGTAAGCACGAAGCTTAGTGAGTTCCCCCATTGTACCACATACCATACAAACACATAGCATACATACTGCCGGGCAATTCTGGGGTGCCCGACCTACCCGATACGGCCATTCTGGGGTGCCGACCTACCCGTGTCAAGCCATTCTGGGGTGCTGACCTACCCATGTCAAGCCATTCTGGGGTGCTGACCTACCCATGTCAAGCCATTCTGGGGTGCTGACCTACCCGTTGGTCCTAACAACCGAACTTGGGGCTATTCCCCTCCTACTACCACTATCACATATAACATAGCATGCCAGCATATAAACATATCATCACATGCTGTCAGACATATCTGGGGTGTCTGATCTACCCTTCGGTCCTAACAACCGAACTCTACTACTATCACTTATAACATATCATGCCAGCATATAACATATCAGGTAGTAGCAAAACTAGATGATATCACAAAGACAATCACCTAACATACAACTCCTACTGGTGGGCCGGCATTGTGGCCGTAGACCCACCGCTACTGGAAGGTAACTCACCTCGTAGTAGCTGCTGATCTGTGCGGGAAATCCTCTGACTGCTACTGCTGCTGCTCCGGAAATCCTCCGGCTATAATTCCCACAAAACACTTAGTCATACACTGCCAACTGCTTTTAGGGTAAAATGACCATTTTACCCCTGACCAAGTCAAAGTCAAAGTCAAAGTCAACTTCCAGTTGACCTGACTCGCCGAGTTGGTTCGCCAACTCGCCGAGTCCCTATCCTTCTATTTGACCTTATACTCGTCTCTACTCGTCGAGTTAGGCGATGACTCGACGAGTTTTCCTTCTAATTGAACATCTACTGAATCTTCATCCGACTCGCCGAGTTGTATGAACAACTCGTCGAGTTCATCTTCAACTGATGAACAGGTCCTGTCCTTGACTCGCCGAGTTGTATGAACAACTCGTCGAGTTCATCTTCAATCTTAAGAAGATTGCCTTGGACTCGCCGAGTCTGTTCATGCACTCGCCGAGTCCCATGAATTCCAGAACCATGGCTTAGTCCAGAACGTTGGGTCACTCCCCGGGACCTCCCTGAAACCTTTCCACACTCAACTGGGTCCTTGACCCATAACAGAAAAGGGAGTCAAGCCTCGGACTCGCCGAGTCCCAAGAACGACTCGCCGAGTCGAGTATGTCCAAGTCTCATTTTCTCTCGATTTCTGGTGTACAACACTTGCCCAAAAGGTAGATCTAGGCTCCTAGGACCGTTCTAGCACGTAAAGTTACGAACTTTACGTGCATGCATGGGACTTTTGAGCCTAAAGGCCCTAAAATGGCTCCTACAATGCATGGGGCCTTCCTTGAGTGCCAAAAGCCACTCCTTTCTGCCTTGTAACCCCTCCAAGGACCTAGATCTGAAACTTCAACCCCTAACCATGCTTGCAATCATGGTTGGTGACCAAAATGGCTTAGAAAAGCCCTAAAATTTCACAAAATGGGATCTATCAAATGGAAGAGCAAGGTACAGACTTTTTACCTTCAATGAGCTGAAAATGGTGCACAAACTCGGATCCCTTTAGCCTCCTCTTGTTCCTTCAAGCTTTTCCTTCCCTCCTTGGATCACAAAAGCACCAAAGTCACTCCAAATGCCTTAGATTGCTTCAATAACGGATAGGGTTTGCTATGGGGGTCTTCTGGGAGCAAATGGGACGAAGGAGGCCGAGTTAAAGTGTTTTAAATAGGGTGCAAACCCTCGGATTAGGGTTTTTGTCCAGACAGGGTCTACTCGCCGAGTCCGGGACCCGACTCGCCGAGTCCATCGCTTAAGTCTCGCGTCCCCTCTCGCTTCTACTCGGCGAGTTGGTCCTTCAACTCGCCGAGTCCAAGGCCAAAAATGCAAAATATTTAAAGAACTACTAAAAAGAATACGTACCAAGAACCAGGTGCTACAAATCTCCCCCACTTATTTTAGACTTCGTCCTCGAAGTCTGCTGCTCGTTCCTGAAACAGCTCGGGGTAATGCTCCATCATCTCGTCCATCGGCTCCCAAGTCCACTCCGACCCCTTCCGGTGCTGCCATTGCACCTTCACGAGTTCCACTCTTTTGTTCCTCAGATCCTTCGACTTCCGGTCAAGGATCGCTACAGGCCGCTCGATGTAATTCAGGCTGTCATCAACCTGAATGTCCTCCAAGGGTACCACTGCTGAGTCGTCCACCAGGCACTTCCGCAGCTGGGAGACGTGGAAAGTGTTGTGGATCTGACTGAGTTCGGCTGGCAGATCCAGCCTGTACGCCACCTTGCCCACCCGGGCTACGACCCTGAACGGTCCAATGTACCTTGGCCCAACTTGCCCCGCTTCCTGAATCGAATGACGCCTTTCCAAGGCGACACTTTCAGGAGAACCATATCCCCGACCTGGAACTCCAGGTCTGATCGACGCTTATCGGCATAACTTTTCTGCCGACTCTGAGCAGTCTGAAGCCTGCTCCGGACCTGCTGAATCTTCTCTGTCGTCTTGAGCACCACTTCGGTGCTACCCATGACCCTTTGGCCAACCTCACCCCAGCATATCGGGGTCCTGCACCTCCTCCCGTATAACATCTCAAAGGGAGGACGATCAATACTCGCGTGGTAGCTGTTGTTGTAGGAGAACTCAGCCAATGGAAGGTAGGTATCCCAACTACCTCCGAAGTCTAACACGCATGCTCGCAGCATATCCTCCAGAGTCTGGATGGTCCGCTCGCTCTGACCATCTGTCTGCGGGTGAAAGGCGGTGCTGAAATGCAGACGAGTACCTAACTCGTCGTGGAATTTCTTCCAAAATCTGGAAGTGAACCGAACATCCCTGTCAGAAATCACGGAGACCGGCACCCCGTGACGAGCCACCACCTCTCGAATATAAATATCGGCCAGCTTTTCGGCCGATATGCTCTCCTGGATCGGTATAAAATGGGCACTCTTGGTCAACCGATCCACGATGACCCATATGGAATCCACTCCCCGCACGGTCCTGAGAAGCTTGGTGATGAAATCCATAGTAATATCTTCCCACTTCCACAGGGGAATATCCAACGGTTGCATCTTGCCGTGTGGCCTCTGGTTCTCGACCTTGACCTTCTTGCAGGTCAAGCACCGCTCCACATACCATGCTACATCTCGCTTCATGCAGGGCCACCAATAATCAAGACGAAGATCCCTA